ATCTGAAGAACTCACGGCATTAATGAGGCATGGTACGTGGGACTTAGTTCTCCCTCCTACACACTGCAAACCAGTGGGTTGTAAATGGGTATTTCAAGTTAAGAGGAAGGCTGACGGGTTTGTTGATTGCTTTAAAGCAAGCTCGTTGCCAAAGGGTACAATCAATGCCCTGGCATGGATTACAATGAGACATTTAGTCTAGTTGTGAAGTCGGCACCGATAAGAACTGTCAAGGAATTCAGAAATGTTATAGGTGCTCTTTAATATCTCTCTCTTACAAGGCCAGACATCTCGTTTGTAGTGAATAAACTCTCTCAGTTCGTGTATAAACCTATTGTGACTCATTTGACAACTACGAAGAGGCTACTTCTTTACTTGAAACAAACATTTTTTCATGGAATTGACATCAGAAAAACCAATCTATCAACTCTTACAACCTACACTAATTCAGATTGGGCAGGGAACTTTGATGATAGAACTTCAACTTCTGCTTACTTAAGTTTCCTTGGCCAAATCCAATTTCTTGGAGCTCTAAAAATAGAGGGCAGTTGCTAGATCATCAACCGAGGCCGAGTATACAACCCTTGCAAATGTGGTTTTTGAAACCATTTGGCTCCTTCAATTATTTAAAGAACTCGACCACCCTATATCCTCCACACCAAAGCTGATTTGTGATAACTTGGGTGCTACACAACCGAGTTTCAATCCAGTCCAACACTCTCGAATGAAGCATATTCAAATTGACCTACTCTTTGTACACGATATAGTTCAGAAATGAACACTCCAATTTCATCATGTAAATACACAGGACCAACTTGTAAATATTCTAACAAAACCACTGTCAAGGCAACGTACGGAACAACTGAGAAACAAGATTGGCCTTACTGACAACAACCCCATCTTGTGAGGGCGTATAAAGGAGGATTTCACAAATCAAGCCAAGGATAAAAAATCAGCCGACTAGACAACAATCATGCTTGTAACAATCATCATATCTTGGCAATCAATTCTATGTAACTGTTATTTTTGTATAGCTATAATTTTAGCTAGTTTCCTAGAATAGAGCTTGTAAAGTTTGTATTTAAATGTATACAAGTTCTTGTAAAAATTAGGTTGTACAATTTGCCATTTTTATAGAGAAATAAAGACATTGTTCTTGCTCANTATCAGAAGAACTCACGGCATTAATGAGGCACGGTATGTGGGACTTAGTCCTCCCTCCTACACACTGCAAACCAGTGGGTTGTAAATGGGTATTTCAAGTTAAGAGGAAGGCTGACGGGTTTGTTGATTGCTTTAAAGCAAGCTCGTTGCCAAAGGGTACAATCAATGCCCTGGCATGGATTACACTGAGACATTTAGTCTAGTTGTGAAGTCGGCACCGATAAGAACTGTCAAGGAATTCAGAAATGTTATAGGTGCTCTTTAATATCTCTCTCTTACAAGGCCAGACATCTCATTTGCAGTGAATAAACTCTCTCAGTTCGTGCTTAAACCCATTGCGACTCATTTGACAACTACGAAGAGGCTCCTTCTTTATGTGAAACAAACAATTTTTCATGGAATTGACATCAGAAAAACCAATCTATCAACTCTTACAACCTACACTAATTCAGATTGGGCAGGGAACTTTGATGATAGAACTTCAACTTCTGCTTACTTAAGTTTCCTTGGCCAAATCCAATTTCTTGGAGCTCTAAAAATAGAGGGCAGTTGCTAGATCATCAACCGAGGCCGAGTATACAACCCTTGCAAATGTGGTTTTTGAAACCATTTGGCTCCTTCAATTATTTAAAGAACTCGACCACCCTATATCCTCCACACCAAAGCTGATTTGTGATAACTTGGGTGCTACACAACCGAGTTTCAATCAAGTCCAACACTCTCGAATGAAGCATATTCAAATTGACCTACTCTTTGTACACGATATAGTTCAGAAATGAACACTCCACTTTCATCATGTAAATACACAGGACCAACTTGTAGATATTCTAACAAAACCACTGTCAAGGCAACGTACGGAACAACTGAGAAACAAGATTGGCCTTACTGACGACAACCCCATGTTGCGAGGGCGTATAAAGGAGGATTTCACAAATCAAGCCAAGGATAAAAAATCAGCCGACTAGACAACAATCATGCTTGTAACAATCATCATATCTTGGCAATCAATTCTATGTAACTGTTATTTTTGTATAGCTATAATTTTAGCTAGTTTCCTAGAATAGAGTTTGTAAAGTTTGTATTTAAATGTATACAAGTTCTTGTAAAAATTAGGTTGTACAATTTGCCATTTTTATAGAGAAATAAAGACATTGTTCTTGCTCAATTCTCATCAGCTACTTTGAATAATCATTGAACAATGAAAATAAATTAAAATTAGACCGAACTCTTGGTTGTTATTAAAATTGACCATATTCTAGGTATAGAGTCGAGAGCCAAATGGTTCTAACCTTGTTCTAGCTACAGGATTCGAATTTGGTCCGATTTCATTAACAAAAGAAACAATTTAATAAATTATTTTAAAGAAATATCGATTATATTTTCATAAGAGGACGGGTTTGGATCTCAAGAAATCCAAACCGAACTAGATACCATCTTTACTAACCTATCTAGATAACTTAAGGGTTGGGTGTATTTAATTGGAATTTTTGAAGACTTTTATGAACTTTTATAAGTGATGAATTTTGTGGATTTTTTTTATGGATTTGTATGGAATTAATAGAAGTCTTTAGTAGACTTTTATAAAATTTTGTAAAATTGCAAAGATTTTTGAAAACGTTCATTTAAAATAGAATTCACGTGAGTTTAGAACAATAGTATGAAATTCTCACACACGAGTTATTGGTTCCCACATTTCCCTTTCCCCTCTCCTTATAATAAAACATATATATATATATATAGGTCACCTTAATTAAATAAATAATAATCAATATGACATACATAAATCCATATATTTGAATTTAATTATGGATTATTATTATTATTTATATAAGATCATATAATTTTTAATTACAAATATATACTTTTCATAAAAAAATATGAAAAAAAGACAAAAAGTTGTAGGAATCTTTATTTTATTTTTTTCATAAAAATAGAGATAAAAATAAATAAAAGAGAGAGAAAGCAAAAAAAGAAAAATAGAAACATATATAATTAGTAAAAAAAATCATTTGTAATTATGAATCTAATGTTCGTAGACGAAAAAAGAAAAGAGAGACATTGAAAGAAACTAATAATAATAATAATAATAATAATAATAATAATAATAATAATAATAATAATAAATTATTTATATTAATAATTTATTATTATTATTATTATTTATTTATTTATTTTTTATTATGAATGAGGGAATTTTTGAAATTTTACTTTAATACTTTCTGCTTAAAAATTAGTACCTTTGAGACTTTTATAAAAGTCTTTAAAAGTTATTAACAATTTGAATACCACAAAACTTATAAAAACTTTTAAAATTTTTTAATTAAATGCACTGTAACTTTTAAACGCTTTTTAAAAGTTTCGATTGAATACATAAATAATTTTTGAGAATATCTAAAAGTTTATTTTGAATATTCCTAAATTTTTTAAATTTCAAAAAGTTTTTAAAAGTCCTAATTGAATACCCCTATTTTTACTTTTAAGATAAAACATTATCTAATTAATAAAATAAATAACTTTTTTATTTAATTTTCACTAAACAAATATTACTTTTAATAATCGAACTTTTAAAGCTTGGCCAAACATGAGAGTGAGTAATACTGTAATAGCACAGTTGCTGGCCCTAAACTATAGAATTTGACCTACGAAATCTTCTCCGCCGTTCAATAAAAATTGTTGATGCTTTGGTTGCGGCGCCGTGGTGCTCAGTCACCGTCGAGGGCGGAGAATGGGCGGTGGGAAGGAAGATGATAATTACCGCTAGAAGCCGCAAATTTCAGTCCAAATTTGACGCGTCAGAGACACGTAATCTTTCTCGGTTGCTTCCTTTTCCACATTTCCTTTTGTGTTAATTGCAATGCAGGTCATCCAGCTTTTAACTGAATTGCTTCTGGGTAACTCGTCTTCAATTTGGAATAATCACATCGCCCAGCTTCGACTTGCTTGCAAATATGACCACTCATCGTCAATTTGGTATAATTAGATCGCCTATCCTCAATTTATTTGCAAATCTAATCATTTTATCCACTGCATTTAACTAATTTAACATGTTGACTTGCTCCACTTGACCAGTGAACACGTCATATAATTACACACATATGTTCAAACTAATAAAACGTTAGGTACACATTAGTTGAACGTGCAAGTTAGAATATTATGTTAGTTAAACTGATGGCAATGGACATGTTTGTCTCGTCTACATAGACATTTCTCAGGGGTATGAGATAAACAGTTTGTATTGACCGACGAAACTTTGAGCCTAAGGATGAAGAGAGCAAATTTCTTATGTGCTGTATGATGACTAAATTCAGAATGAAATAACGACAATTTTAATTACTTTTATATTGTTATTCCATGTACTTCATGTCTGTTTGCTGCAATATAGAATAAATTCGTGGATAGAGTAAATTCTCCTCACCTAACTCGTACTTCATTATACCGCTATTGATACGATATGCCACTGCATATGGTTTAAAAAACAAAAGTTAATGGCTGTGGACAAAGTGACTAGATTTACAAGAAAATGAAAGTTGAACGACCTAATTGCACCAAATGGAAGATGAGTAACCTTTATGCAACTCTACTCAAAGTTAGATGACCTAAGTTGCATTTAACCCTATTCTTTTGGATTCCGTTGAAAGCGCGTGTAATAGTAACATTTATAAAATATTTTTAATTCCACCCAACGGTTTTTGCAGTGAAACATAAATACAGAGACAAAGTCTTTGCATTTGTATGCTTACACAACTTCCAGTGCATTCATTGGCATGTTCCTCTGCATTTCCTTTGTATTTATCTGAACTTTATTGATTCTGTAGCAGCACAAGCTAATGAAGAGGATGGTTAGTCTAGTTTCTCGCACGGGAAGGCATATGCAGCGATACAATTTTCATGGCCATCGCCAAGTAGTGGGGTCTCTCTCTCTTTCATTCTCTCAGAAACATAAACACAAACGCATTTAAAGCATTAGATTAGTTCTTCTTTTTTAATTTCATATGTATGTGTTTCTTGGTTTGATGTATGGTTTATTATCAAGAGTTGACTTCATTGCTATGCTTCTGATTGGAGTTTTGTCTTTGTGATTGTAATGCTAAGATGTCAAATCACCAAAACAAAGATGCACCCTTTGATTTGAAGTATATTTTTGTAATTTGTTCTATAATTAAGCCATAAGTGGTCAAAATGAAGGTTTTGAGTGAGGTGTTGGTTCGATTTCGAGTTTTCTGTCAAATTGGAAAGGGTGGTCAGCATTTTTTTTCACATTTTCTTGCCCATTTTACCTCTCGATATTGTACAAGATTGGCTTATAAAGTTGATTAGCAGCACTCACCCTGCTCCTCATTTTAACTAATATGATGGTTTATTGTCATTTGTTAACTTAATAAAACAGATAACGCGTTGTTTCAACACATAGCCTTGTAACTCTTTACAGTGGTAACAATAATTTGACTGAATATCGAACGCAAACTTCAAAAGAGATCACTCTTAATTAGTATGGATTCACTCTCTTTGCCACGTCTTTGATGATTTTCAGTTATGATTCTGCAGATGTATTCCTTACAGATATAAAGATACACATGGGACATCTATAGTGGATGAGGAGTCAATTGAAGTTTTAGTTATTACTTCACAGAGAAAAGGGAAAGGGATGTTGTTTCCAAAGGTATTGACGATTTGCAATTTAGTCATTAAAATTCATTTCAAATACTCGACCGTATTATGAATTATGTTTTAAAGGCCGATATGAAGAATCTTGTTATTCAGGGAGGTTGGGAGGAAGATGAATCCATTAAAGATGCAGCATTGCGCGAAACGGTGGAGGAAGCTGGGGTAGTAGGTGAAGTCGAGGTTAGTTATTCTCATAATGAATTTTCATTTCCGTGGCGAAGTTTATAGAATAAAAAGTTCGAAAATCTCATTTCGACTTTTATTTATTGCACCCTGAACATTTGGTTTTGCTGCACTGTTGATATATTTGAGGTGGAATACATATTTATGTAACTAGTGGTTCGAGTTTTTGTTCGCAGTGTGAATTGGGTAAATGGACTATCAAGGGCAAAAATGAAGACACATGTTGTGAGGGATACATGTTCCCTTTACTTGTCAAAGAGCAACTAGATTCTTGGCCAGAGAAAGACGTCCGGCAAAGAATATGGGTAATGCGATCCACAAATTTTTCATTAAAACTTGCGAAAATTCATAGAATTGCTGAAATAAACTTAATTCTAACAGGTTAGTGTTAGAGAAGCTAGGAAAGTTTGCCAGTATTGGTGGATGAAGGAAGCCTTGGAATTATTTGTGAATCACCTCACATCACAAGGTACTGAGGGTGAAAACGAGTGCTGTTCAGCAAGCCAGGGGACAAACAGTAATTTGTAGCGAACTTTTTAAGGCTGTCTTAACAGAATGCCGTCGGGTGCTGGAAAAGCAAGGTGACAGCCACTTCAACTCGAAGAAAATGAGAACCGGAATTAGGTATATCGACATCTTGTTACATTTTATCGGAATTGTGAGTCTTGCACAGAAATCTACTTATTGTTGTTTCAGAACTGGAAGCAATGCATGTAAATCCGAGTTCTTAATCAATGTTAATCGGTGTGTTTCATTCGTTTGTGCTCTTCTATGCCTTCAAAATTCTCCTCTATGTTAACTAGCTTAGTTTTTATGTCATTCCGATAAATTGTATCATTGGTCATAGATTACTTTTACACTGTAGTTCTTGAATAACTCCATTGGCATTGTTGAGCAGTGTTTTGGCTAGTCATTATTGACCCATCAAACAAGAGTAATGCTATTCATAGTCGCTCACTGCAGCAGTCGCCTTATGTGACACATACATAGCATGTAGTTGTTTGATGCATTAACATGGTAGTTTTTTTTACCACATTAATGCATTAAATACACACTTGACATGTGTGTACCACATAGGGCGACTGATGCAGTGAGCTACTGCAAATAGCATTATTCATCAGACAATGAAATTTTAGTGTCACTGTCGGGTTTTAAAACATTATTTTTCCTTAGACTTGATTCTTTGCTAGAATCACACTTCGATTTTCTCAATGGAACTAAGGTAAAATCTGTGCAATTTACAGTAGAGATAGTAACCATTCCACATCTCGTAGCATGTTTGACTGAGCTGAAAAGGTCCTTGAGATTGTCTTGATAATGTATCTACACAACACTTTTACTACGCGAACTAGATTGCCAACATAGATTCTATGACCACGAGGAATGTTCATACTCATCTTCATATTGCCTCTGTAGTGGGTCAAATCCTATTGGAAATGGATAAAAAGTTTGTGCAATGAGGCTGAACTCATATGTTATTATACGTACTCGTGTTAACTCGGTACTCAAGTTACTTGACTTTGATAATGGGTTTGCTTATCTTGTGCGCGCACCGAGACCCATGGAATTCAACTTGTCTTGTATTTGATTTCTAACTTTGTCCTATCTAGTGGACCCACCGCCTTGATTTACTCAAGAAGACGTTCTTGTCTTGTTCGTTGATTTTTTTGAACACCGATCCTCCATTGCATCCCAAAAATTTAGCCTCGTGACTCTTGGAGTAATTTATAATCCTTGCTTAAGTGAAACTTCATCCCAATTGTCAAAAAAAACTTTTTCTAAAATGTACGATTCATCATCATTATTTAAAAAAAAATAGTTTAAAAAGATAAAATAATAAAAATTTATATGGCCTAAGAACCGGTCCTATCGAAGGGTCTGGGCGGTCCATTTCGGCTCATTGATACTTGAAGAAATGAATATTAAAAATTGGATATTTTCCAACCACCCTACTATTCAACAAAAAAACTAAAATACCTAACTTTCAATATTTAGATTTTTACTTGCACTAATTTTGTTTGAGAAAAATTGCCCCGTTACTTCTTAAAGTTAATTCGCAATAGGTACATCGACATGTCAGTTTTACATTTTTACACGTATTTTACATGAATATTAAAAGCTCAACATTTATGAGGTAACATATTTGTTTTATTTTTATTAAAAATCAGCAATTTACAAGGATAGTAAAATAATTTTTACCATATGTTACCTTTTATTTGAAAAATCCATATTTTATAAGTGTAACATGTGTTACCTATGTTACTTTTGTTACTTATTTTTAGATTCATCTAATAACATTTGTTACCATGTTGTCGAATATATAATGTTATTCTTATCGCAAACTCTAACACCACCTTGTCTAGTACTATTTTCTATCAGTACCACCCACTTCACACCACCAATTGAGTCGAATTTCCTCGATCTCAACCATTCCTTTTTTCTTGACCCAATGTCGTCCCAATTTTCTCTAACAACGACGACCACCACTACTTACCGCTCACCACGATCATAGTCATCCTTGCACCAGCCATCAATATAGCTATCCATAAAACTATTATGTTATCAATCACTCGGTAATTACTGCATCTCAAAAATCCACTCAAACTCATCACAGAAAGCCACGATCACCACCCACCACCTATAGCACATCATTTTTCTCACTACCACTGTCTGAAATTCTTCACCGCCTCCATCTTCACAGCAAAGAGTCCTCGTCTCTCTTCTTCAACATCTATCGCCATGTCTGCAATCATGAGTCATTTCGAAAACAATTTCAGATCAAAACATGGATTCTTAGGTCAGTGGCAACAATTGTTGTGCTAGTGTTTGATAGAGGCGAGAGAAGTGGTAGTGGGTGGCGATGATGAGCTCACAATAGCACGGGTGAAAAGGAGACGGTAGAGGACAAAGTAGGTGGCAATTTGCAGCTAAAAGGTGAAGGTTTGGAGGATTATCATGATTGATTGATTATGTTTGTGAAATGTTTGCAAATTGCAAAAGGTGTATTTTTCAAAAATTATTAATTAAATATAGCAAAAAACCCAGAAATTAAAAAAAAAAGAGGCATTCCAGTTTTTAGAAGAAAAGAAAACGTACAAACCTTCAAAATAGAAAAATATGAAAAGTTAAAGATATTATAAAGTAGCCCACATACCAAGCAAAATGGCGAGGAAATAGTGGGAAATAGCGTGTTGATTGGACCATATTTTCACAATGGCCTTTGACCCATTAATATGATTTTAAAAAAAGAGAGAAAAAATTAAAACATAACATTTACAATCAAAAAGCCAAAAATACTCTAGATGACCGTTAACAATCGACCGACTGTTAACATCCGGCTCTTAACAACCGGTCGACTTTTAGCAGTCAGCCATGATTTTTTTTCTTTATTTAATTTTGTTTTATAGTTAATTGTTTTGGTTAATTTAATTTAATTAAATAATATTTATATTTTTTATTTAATTCAATAATATTTATATTCTTTATTTAATTTTAATATTTCCTTTTGTTTGAATTTATATATATATATATAATTAAATAAAGAAGTTGAAATTGATAATTACTAAAATAAAATATTCTTTTTTAACGAATTAGCAAATTCTTTTTTTNAAAATTCATTTTTTTCCTTTTATTTTTTTAATTTAAAATTCTTTAATTAAATATTCATTGTAAACAAATCTTTAATTTTTTCAAATTTAATTAAATAATATTTATATTCTTTATTTAATTTTAATAATTTCCTTTTGTTTGAATTTTTTTTATATATAATTAAATAAAGAATTTGAAATTGATAATTACTAAATTGACATATTTTTTTAACGAATTAGCAGATTCTTTTTTTCCCTTTTAATTTTTAATTTTAAAATGTTTTAATTAAATATTCATTGTAAAAAAAATCACTAATTTTTTCAAATTAAATTAAACAATATTTGTATTCTTTATTAATTTGAATAATTTCCTTTTATTTGAATTATATATATATATATATAGATCACGATGAAGAACAATTGGCTCAAGAATAACCACATAATCCTCACGAGCTATCTCCACTATATTCCAAAAATCATGGCATTGTAATCCACTCCAACCGAATCTTCGTGTCCACTTTAGGCGACATCCTTCCTCATTAAAATCACTCAAAAAAGAGTCATGTACATTTTGTTCAACTCAAATAGATAATTCACTTCTTCATCACAAGTAACCTTTATAGGTGGAATCAGAATAGATAAATCATTCTTGAATCGAAATCTCAGTTCCATATCATATAATATTCAGCTTGTTTTGTAAATTATGGTACATTCCCGCATATCTTGTACTCTCCTTTATGAAAATTGGAGTACCACCACGTCTATCGTTTATCTATTTCCATACTTATTGATCTTTCTCATCCAATTCGAAGTCACCAAAATAACATACTAACATTACAACCATATATGCAAGAAGAAACCGATTTTTTTTTTAAGAAGATGCATAATCCAAGATTGGGCTTTTAATAAGAATTTTAAAATAAAAAAGGAAACATTTGGACATAAATTTTTTAAGAAAATACATAATCGAAATTTCAGCTTTGAATAATAATTTTTTTTAAAAAAAACGTAAAATAGCCATAATAGCCGAATGAACAATCGAAACTGCAAGCTGTTAACAACCTTAACAGCAACAGCCCACCAAACAGCCGGTCGACTGTTTCTTGCCAAATCCATTTCTTCCTAAAATGCAGATGAAATTTTTTCTCATTCATATTTAAAAAAATTATAGATCTGTTAATTTTTTTTTATCTAGATTAACTATCTATATCGAAATAAATTTAATGATTAAAACGTATACTGATTTAACGAAAATGAAATTAAACATACGTAAATATACTTATCGATTCTCGAAGTGATTGATATAAAAAAAATTCAAGTTTCAACGTATGATAAATTTTTTAGATTTTAAGGTTGAAGCAAATGAAAGATAAGAGAGTTTTTATTGGTGTTGAAATAAACAGATAACAAAAGTAAGTTGATTTTGAAATTGTACGTAGGGAGTGTTTGATTTTTATTTATTAACTAAATTGTAGTATTGTCTTTTAAACAAAATAATATTTTTAATTGTTTTATATACTTAAGGGCGTTTTTATCTTAAAAGTAAGTTGATTTTGAAATTTTATGTATGGAGTGTTTAGTTTTAATTTGTTAACTAAAGGGTAGTATTGTCTTTTAAACAAAACAATATTTTATAATTGTTTTATATGCTTAAGGGCATTTTTGTCTTTTGCCATTAAATAAGCCATTGTGAAAATATGAATAAGTTGAAAAGTCAAAATGGAAATATGACTCTTTGATTGTGTCAATTTTAAAAGTACCCCCAAAATGGGAGTAAAAAGTTTGATAAATCACCAAACTTAGCACAATGTCACGTTTTGGTCACCGAACTTCATTTTGCTTCTCAACGGTCACTGAACTGACAAACGTACCCCTCCATCCACCACCCACCATCTCAGCCGTTTGAAACTGTCTGATGTGTCTTAACGGCAACCAACTTGGCAGTCTACAGCGTGAAGTCGGCCATGTTGGACGCGATTTTAATATGAAAAACACGACAATTCTTGATGAAATCGAAATCCCTAACACCTTTTCTCCCCAATTCGAAGAAGAACCCCCAAATCGATTTATTTCAAAACCCTCTCCTAAATCGATTTCTTCAGCCTATGCGATTGGCATAATTTCGCATCCTTCACAGCGATACTAGTCGAAGGAGTGAACCCTACGGGGTATATACAATAATTAGCATCATGTCCCACTGTTGATCCAGGATTCGTTCGAAGTACCTCCGTAACATATCTCCTCAGTAATCCGAATTGTTCTTCATTGTTCCAAACAACAATTCCTTAGCATACTGTCTTATCTTATTTGCCACATTTCTATTTATCTCCGTCTTCAAATCATCATTCACATTCGCCAAAATGGACTTTGTTTTCCAATCGGGGTCTGCCTTGAACTGTTCAATGTATCTATTTGTCAAGAAGATGTAGTTGCAACGTTTATTGTGTTCGCTCCATGTGCATGTATGTTCGGACGTGTAAGATTTACTTGTCCTGCCTTCTTCGTACTCAACTTCGAGGCCTATATCCTCCAATTACACCCCAATTTGCAAACTTCTTGAGCTCGTTTTCTATCATTACACTTTCAATTCACATTGTAACCATTAAGAGCACCATAGTTTCTCACTGCAGCCCGAAACTCTTCCATTGACAGAAAGAGTTGTCTAACGTCAAAATGCAGATTTCTTATATCCGTCTCAACAAAAAATTCTGAGAAGTGATAACCAACCTCTTCGTCCAATGAGCAAGTAAAATATAAGAATTATGCTATTTGTACAATGTTTTTGTACAACATTGTTGACAATGTTGATTGTAGCAAAAAAGTATTGGTTGAAATAATGAATTATTTTTTAAACTGCCAAAAGTATTGGTTGAAATAATGAATTATTTTTTAAACTGCCAAATGATAACATGCCACGTGGCATGTTGTCAACAATGATGTCAAAATCATTGTACATCAAGCATTGTTCAAAATATAACTCCTCCAAGTCATCGTCTCCTACCTCCCCTACACCCATCACTACTCCTTCGTTTCTTGCTTCATTCTTGTCCAATCCAATTTCGATGCCATCTGTAACATTGTGGTCGTACAACAAATCATCTTCCTTAGAAGCCATGTCAACCTCGAAATGAACGAAATCTGGGTCTTCCTCATTATCTGTCAACAAAATGAAAACATTGAAATTATTTACCCATGGTGTATAAATAATAATCTGTTCGATATCATTGACTCATCAAACATTAAGTTCATAAATGCCAATAACAGATGCAATCTTGCAACACCCACATATTCATATATTCATAATCTCCCATATGCGTGCAGTTTTCATGACAAACATATAAACAGAGCAGCCATTGATGAACAGAAACATGTAGTTTATGAGACAAGTAACACTTCAAAGTACATTGCATCAAGGAATTTACCTCCGTCTGCTCCTTCCATGCTTGCAAATTTAACTTCAGAGTACACTTCAGAGGCTACTTTCGGGTAGGGCGTGGAGACGATGTTGGAATTGTGATTTTGGGGAGTAGGGTTCACGCCTTCAATTGGTATTGCTGTGAAGGATGCGATGATCTGCCAATCGCACATGCTAAATAAATCGATTTGGGGGAGGGTTTTGAAGGAAATCGGTTTGGGGGTTCTTGTTTGAATTGGGGAGAAAAAGTGTTGCGGATTTCGATTTTGTTGTGTTTTTCATATTAGAATCACGTCCAACATGGCCGACTTCACACCGTAGACTGACAAGTTGGCTGCCGTCAAGGCACATCATACGGTTTCAAACGGTTGAGATGGTGGGTGGTGGATGGAGGGGTACGTCTGTAAGTTCAATGACCATTGAGAAGCAAAATGAAGTTCAGTAACCACAACGTGACATTGTTCTAAGTTTGGTGATCAATCAAACTTTTTACTCCCCCCAAAATGGCTGATACATGCCCTGTATAAGATACTTTTCTTAGCCCACTCTACTTCACAATTTCAAATTCATATTTCTCCTTTTTCTCTTTTCTTCCTCGGATCAAAATCTCGATCAATTCATCAATGGCGTTGGAGTGGGTGATGCTAGGCTACGCCGCCGGAGCAGAGGCCATAATGCTCCTCCTCCTAACTCTCCCGGGTCTTGACCCGCTCCGCAAGGGCCTAATTAGCGTGACCCGTAGCTTGCTCAAGCCTTTCCTGTCCATCGTGCCCTTTTGCCTGTTCCTGCTGATGGATATATACTGGAAATATGAAACCCGACCCAGTTGTGAATCTGAATCTTGTTCTCCTTCCGAACACCTCCGCCATCAGAAATCTATTATGAAGTCCCAGCGTAACGCTCTCTTGATCGCCTCTGCTCTTGTTTTCTACTGGCTGCTTTATACTGTTACTGGCCTTGTTGTGAAGATTGATCAGCTGAATAAGCGGATCGAGAAGTTGAAGGCCCAGGATTAATTCATCTGAACTGGACTTTTTCGATTCTCAGATAAGTTAGTAAATTTTTAAAGATGAACTGGGGTTTTCCTCGGATGCGTAAATGCCATGTTCGGTAATTGTTAGGATGTCTTTGATTTTTCCTTAATTGACTGGATCATGGATTTGGCACACCCGTGTTAATTTAGTTACACAGATAATTGAGTATTATTATTGAGACCTTTTGAATTTTCTTCTGTTTAATTTGGTTTTGGATTAAGGATGACTGCAAAATTTATGAAATGCAATTGGGTTTTTTAATTATATTTAGCTTTTTTAGTGTTTTGGTTAAATTGCAATTATGCATTCAGTAGATATTTCATTGGTACAATTGATGAATGTTAGATCCATGGATTCCCGAAAGCCAAGTTGTTGGAGTGATTAAATGTTTGATGTTGAACTAGATTTTGTTCCAATATGCCATTGTTGTTTTTCGATTTTATTAGAATATGTTTTTCAAGATCGCGGTACTACTCCTTTGTGTTTAATTAATTACATGGCAATGGATATTGATTTTTTCTGTGTTTGCAAAACCATGGGATTTGTTGCCTTTTTAGGCTTGGATTAGAAGGAACATTGTATGTTAATTAATGATTGCTAGAATTGTATGGATGATATTGCCAGTCACTTGCAATTTGCCTTTGTAAATGCACTTTTGTTGCCTTAACCTGAATCTTTAATTTAATGTGAAGAGTAGTATACTATTTTGCGGATTTGAAATTTATAATTTTGTGATTTTTACATTAATATTGGTAGCATCTTTGGCCATTCATTGGAGTTAAATCATCAAATTACTTGACTTATGTGGTTTAGGATTAGTGATGGAGATAGAGATAGTGTTGAGATCGGATTTCAATATAGATTTTAATTTAAATTATGTCCGATTAGATTAAATTAGTTTGAATATTTTTATAAAATTCTAATTTATTAGAAGTTCTTTTGATTTTTGCTTAGTTGCTCTTTATAAAGAAGGTTTATTCATTGTAATAGGTACCCTTGCATAAACGAATAAATTGATTTTCTCTTACCATATTTTCTTCTTCTTGGATCCCCTTTCTCTTTCTTGTTCCTTTTTCAATTGTTTGTTGTGAAATTGCTTCATTCCTGCATCAATTAGATTTTAGAAAGTGACATATAGTTCAGGATTTGACATATATGTTGGTTGCATTATTGTCCGACTAATCATAGGTTTACGTCAAATACAGACTTATGTCTTAAGCATTCGGTTTTAGAAGACCACTTATTATTGTTGGTGCTGATAATGATGTGACAAAGATATTATCTATAGCTGTAAATTGATAGATATAGCTGCTCTGATGTAACTAATATGCTCTCTTGTAACTTCAAAACATTTGGAGTTGCAAACAAAAGGCTCAAGACTGGATCCTAATTTATCTTGTGTTAGACAAGTCTAGCTGTGATTGAAGATGTGTAGAAGTTAGCCAACTTGGTTTATGGGGGTTCTTATAAGAAAGAAAAGAATGCCAGTTAGAAGGTTGTGAGGTTGAAGATCAAGCTTCTTGTTAATCGGGTTTAGGGTTTATATGCTATGGATTTGGTACACCTATGTGTTGAAGATCAAGCTTCTTGCCCCCAAACCCCCACGAGGGGCCCTACCCCCTCGACCCCGGCGACCTGAGTCGATCCCCGTCGGGGGCGTTGCGCCCGAACCCCCGCGATATTTGGTTTTCTCGATTGATCTGCTTTAGAATCTATGGAGTCTGTCACGAAACAAATTGAAGGAAGCAATGATTCATTATTTCTATTTTCATTGGGTTTTTCTATGTTTATTTTAGAGAGATTTCTGATACTTTGTGTTCTAAAATGATTCTTCTTTTTTGATAAGTTTAATACATTATTACATTATCAATATGATTGTGAGACTGGATTGCCATTTTGACACAGGCTCCATAAAGACCCATTGCTTTTCTCAGCTTATGAGATATATCGAAAATAATATAGGAAATAATGAAAAATACAATTGAGACCTTATACAAACTTCATATGTTATTTGAACTCATTTTTCCCATTGAGCCTCATTAGCTTGATTGTTTCGTCATCTAAATTTCTTTTGTTTCTGGACTTCTTTCACTCTTCCAGCACCACTTGCAACCCTGAACCATCTTTTTCCTCCCTCCCAAGAATACGTACAATGGTATACCCTCTAGGACTATCCTTTCTGTAATAAGCTGAAGTGCAACCCTTAATTTCTTGCCCTCCTGCAACCAGCTTAAACATACCAAATATACACATTGAACAAACTGAAATGCAATATTTGTAGATTAAAAAATGTATGTGCTAATAAAGTATGATAAAGAATGGTAGAACCAATATTTTAGAATCACCTTGACTGCAGAACCTACAGGTCTGTAATATAACTAATTTATTAATATCTTCCTATGGCACTGTCTGGTAAGCTATGGAAATTATTCATTTGTCTTGTCGCATATTCCCTTAAATAATTATTTGTAAACTATTTGTATTGAATACAAATTGGTTCTTGCAGGTATCTATAGTGAAAATTGCATTACATATTTCATTCACAAAAATTCAACACATTTAATACGCTAACATTACCTTCAAGAAAATTCAGCCCGTGCATTGCCCGGGCGAAGACTAGTATACTGTAGAAAGTTAAAAGATTGACCTAATCGTGTGGTTGTCCTGAAGTTTGACAAACAGCCTTCTTGATAGATTCAAGAGAAAATCATAGCAGTTACTAGATGACTTCATGGAAAGTGACTGGTCATTTTGTTTTGCGTTGAAAAATCGAACAGGTTTGAGGAACATTTTGCCTGTAACGTTGCGGCCTTTGTTGGGTGGTTTGAAGTTATCATATTGTTAGTCACATTTTAAGGTACATATCAACCTCCACTGGGGATCAGGTTATTAAGCTTCCTTTTTTCTATGGTTCTGATGTAATGGGACCTCATTCAATCATTTTTATCTTAGCATTTGCACTGATTATTTAGAGCATATTTGGGAAGTGTGTATAAACGGTTTAAATTATAAATAAATAGAAATGAGCGATGGATACATGTATAATACTTGTTAATCTCTCGAAATGTATGGATAAAAAATAACTAGTGTTTATAAACATGAGCCAAATATAGGCTAAGTGATTTGGAAAATGTGTTTGTTTAGGGTAAGATAATTAACATTTTTCGAACTTTCTTCGATGTGTCTCTGAATCAAATCAATTTATTGAGCAAGTTAAGACCTACATCTAATAATCACTTATAATCCGTTCCAAATATGCCTTTAATATTATTCAACTTCTTGGGTGGATAAGGTTGCTTCTATGTTATTTATGTCCTTATTTTGTCTAGATCGTGTATTATTATGAGTTTAACATTTTCTTTACGGTCGTGAGCCATTGATAGTGTAAGCTTATAAATTAGTCACAAGTGTGTGCACCCATATGACCATGTCGAGCCCTTTTTGGTTACGCAAAATTAGTATCTTCAATTTATAAATGATTCTTGACCTTAGAACCAAATGAATGGTTTTAGTACACTCGATTAACCAATCGAGTTCTTAGCATTTAGCAAGTGGGGAAAAAATTTGAAAGGGTTCAAATCCTTACTTGGCTATCAAAAGATGTGCAAAACAAATGTTGATTAGTCTATGTAGTTGTTTTAGACAAGCGGGAAGGTCGATTCCATTATGTTTGTCAAGTCAAATTTACATTAAAAGAAGAATATAGCTAAAATTGTCTCGTACATGAAGTGAATGAACTCGAGGTTTTATATGGAGATAGGACATGTATTAGAGTTGATTAACTTGATTGCTTGTCAAATTAGTTCGCATAGTGAGCTTAAAAGTTCGAATGAGACACATTGCTACCATTCCGATTATTCTGTATGACGTTCTTTTAGAATGTTATAACGTCACAATCACACTCGATATCTTCTATGCATAGTTAATTACTTCCGTACCATTGTTGGCCTATCTTGGGTTGCTTCCATCTCTCTCTTTTTTTTTAAAAAATTTTTAACACGACTTTGTTCCAGCAAATGACCCATCGACCGAACCATTGATTTACATATTGAACCATGACCAGGTGACCGAATGGTTTGTTCATATTAACAATCGGGTCATGTCTGATAAACATGAATTTGAGTAATAAGTTGAGCAAATCAAAAGTTAGTTGTTATTCGTTTCCTCTTATTTTTTTTGGTGAATTGCGACATATTTGAATTCGTAATATATTGCTAATTTAAAGGAAAGTCAAAACAACAAATGTAAATTATTAAAAGTTATGTAGTTAGATTACATGTCATGTATAGCCTCTATAGCTTATATTACAGTAGATAACAATTTGAATTTTACTTCTTGTACATCGTTTCTTTACAATTTGCATGACTGTGATTTAAAATGAATGACGTGGCCAGCGGAAATGAAAATAGAAGACCACTTCAACAGGACCACATACATATTTTTAATTCTCTCTCCACTGAACCCCCCACTGAACCCGACCCTTACAAGGAGAATTTGCCGCCATGAAATCACCACAAGTTCAATCCCCCAAAATTGACACCGCGAAATCGATGGGCATCGTCTATGCATCTTTCATCTTTGTGTTTGGCTCTATCGATGTTATTGTAAGCTTTCCCAGCCCATTTATTCACATACGAGAAGAGGAGGTGAAGAAGTGAAATCGGTTGGAACCATCCACCATATTGTTTGCCGGCAGTTATTATAACTTTGAAGAGCCAATTTACCAATCGGTGCACATACGTCAAGAAGAGAACCCCGTTATTAGAACTCTGAAGAGTCGATTTATCCCTAAATCGACCGCGACCCGGGGAGGCCTCCACACATCTACTAAAAGCATAATTCTGTGATGTCAAAGGTGAATGGCTTCAATGTTATGTAAAATCATCTGATATTTTCTCACATTTCATAATTGATACAATATTTTTGATTTCTTGTTGCTCGTTGTATGAACATGAACAAATTGTTGATATCTTCTTGCTCGT